ATGCTTTATTATGATTTTTAAATGGATTTAATATACCATGAAGCCTTGGAAAACGTTTAATAATTAATTTCATGAATTCTTGTTTGCGGAATGCGTCACCTCCGGTATTTTGCTGGTTACACGACAGTGGCAAAGTGCAATCGAGGATTTAAAATCGAGTACTCTAATTGAATCGAGGAATCTTGACAGCCCTAAATGGTCGTTCATACACTAATGCATGTTCAATTAAAAACAAATCCAGTGTGAGTCTGGTTCTTTGACTCTGATGCAGGCCATGACTGAGCATTTGTGTGCGATAGGGATGTAACGGAATGAAAATTTCTTATCACGATTATAGTGACCAAAATTATCACGGTTATCAGTATTATCACAGTATTGTTAAAATGTGCTGGAAATGTTAAAAAAGTAATGACACATAAATCACTTCACCAAGTTTTATATTTAAAAATCAACAAACTTAAACAAACTAAATAGCCTTATGTCATTTATCTTATTTACACGACGGAATGTCATTTCGGTCTCTACGTTATGGTCGCGCTTTCTGTCTCTCTGTATCGCACACAGCGGAGTTCCGCCCCGATGCGCGCACACACACACACACACACACACACATAAAACATTTCATAGGGCCCTAAACATGTAATTTTTGTTAAACTTTTAACAAATTAACTTTTTGACAAATTTAACTCATGATTTTAATTAATTAGACATGTTTTGGATTAATACAATTTAATTTAACCATTAAAAAGGAGTCCAGAAACAAACAAAAAAAAAAAACGGAACCCCCCCGAAACCCTGATGATAATTAAAAGATGAAACGGTAATACAAACCGTGGGGAATTTTATCATGATTTATCGTCAAACTGGTAATCGTTACATCCCTAGTGTGCGATTGTATAATAAGTAACATTGCCTGATGGCTTTTCCTCTCCTTGCATGAAATGCTTTGAAGGTGTCTTTTGTCTGTAGTATTCACATATCATGCTAAATCTCCTGCTCTGTTTCATTGTCTGTGTGGTGTGGAATGGCTCACATGCATGTACGTCAGCATTTGTTTGTATAAATCACAGTCAGTGCTGGAGTCTGTGTGTACTGTTTATTTAAGCTGGGTTGACTGTGTAATTAATATGAGGGATACACCCATTTATGTTTTCAACAGTGAACAAACCCACACGTTTAGACACACCCACACACTTTTATTCCCTTGATAGCATAGCATATACACTAGGGCTGTGCGATTTGGGGGAAAATATCTCTCTCTCACGCACACACACACACACACACACACATGACACGATACTCTACACGGCACAAAATTCCGCATTTGAACAGTCAATAGCAAATACTTAAACTATTAAGAAATAATTTTCATTACTTAAAAGATAAATTAAATGAACGTTTTATGCCTTAAAAAATGTAAATACACAACACAGAATTTCCGAGCAAAAATCATAAGGCTATTGTAAGAATAAATGAAACTTGTTTTTATTCTTTCAAATAATTAGACATGCTAAAACAGAATTTGGTAACAATAAAACATAAGGTTGGAAAAAATAAAACTTTGTTCGTTGTCTGTCATTTCGAAGCTTAAGTTGCATACGTTTTTCTTTAGTTTTAATTTGCTTAACTATCGATCTGACCCAGTAGACGCCATAATCCCACTCTGTCTCTCACCCGTCCCGCGTTCCGGTTTTTTATTTATTTTTTTTAAATGGTGGGTGTTTACGCAGTTGGCTAGAGCAGTGCTGATTGGGGAGAACGGAGGTGCGCTCACTCTATTGGTTAGTAAGACTGCAACTCAAGGCTGGCAGTCATGCATATGCTCTGGAACAGAGTAATATCGCGTCCATATCGCAGGCTTTGCGATTAGGAAATCGCAACGTCTCAAATCGCGATTTCGATTCGATTTCGATTAATCGCACAGCCCTAATATACACTCAAGCTCTATAGTTTTAAACCTCGGCAAACATTGTCTGGTTTGTCTTGAGAATCGTTATGACCTGATTTCACCTCTGGTTATGTGTTTAATACTTACTGTGTTTAAATGCAAAATATGTGCAGGATATTGTTGATGTATGTTTTGCAAATGTCTAACAGACAAAGTCTGCACTATGTTTGTGCTCTGTGGGCAAAATAATGGGGATGTGTAGATGTCTAGGGGTATAGAGTGCATATGTGTTTATTTAGTGTGTTCACATTTGTCTAATCTCTGGCTTTGGCACAGGAAGGGAAGTCTTTTGAAACAGAGTGTGTGTGCACATGTGGTTTTAGTGTGATGTGTACTGTTGCCGTTCAGGGTTATTGAGTTCATGTGTGTGTAAATATGTTTGCTCTTGATCAGTCTGAGCTACAGGAAGGCCTTCACAGGCCACCTGATCATACAAAGTACAGCAGCTTGCCCCTATTTGGGCCTCAAACAATGTACAAGCAATGTACAAGTAGACCGGGACGGTTATGCGAAATAAAACCAATGTTTGGGACACTGATAACATGCGTTTGGGAACACAATATGCACCATGAAAAATTATCATATTTTTTCTTACACACTAAAGATTTATTTATAAAAATATTAATAATAATAACAACAACAGCAACAGATATTTTATTATTATTATTATTATTATTATAGATTCATGTTGTGGTCATGTTTCGGTGTTTCAGAGTCACTGATTAGATGGCAGTGCTTTATCTCAGACTATATTGCAGCTATATATGTGTGCGTGTGTGTATATAACAGAAAGGACAGGTGTTTGGTGGTAAGCGAGAACAAGAGATGGTGTGTATGTGTGATTGATGTGGATAATGTATTCGTGTGAGGTCAAGCACCTCTCTTTTCTTCTTATATCTCACACTTTGTCCACCAGCATCAAGGTTAGTTTACTCTTCGCACTCTTGTGTGAAAAGGCTCACTCCTGTACCAAGCACGGCATGGCACTGTTGCCTCCGCAGCACTCAAACATTGCAATGGTTACGCTCATCTTTGGTCTAAGTGACCTGTACTTATCAAATTATTTGAGAAATAATTGCAGAGATCCTGACCTGTCCTGACTGCTCTTGTATTACTGGGTGTTTCATTAGACCCATCCTTAATGGATGTTTAGCACTGGTGTTATGTTGGTATGTCTATGTGGTTTCTCAGTCATTCAGGTCATTGTATTGTATCTTGTAGATTTTTTTAGACATGCTTATTTTTCTCTCATTTGTTTAAATAAATGCATCATATGTCAACTCTTTAGGTATGTACAGCATTTCTAAAATCTTGTCAATAGTTAATTGCTATTTGTTGTAACTAGGGCTGGTAATTTAACGCGTTAATTAGATTAATTATGCTGAAAAATAACGCGTTAAAATTTTTAACGCATTTAATGCACTTGCCCCGCCCCAGACCTATGGTGGGTCATCTGACATTTCATAAAGTCGATTGATATGAGGCAGGGCAACAACTCACTGCGTGATGGAGCCTAGAGAACGTGGTTAGAAAAAATTCAAGATATGGGGCAAAAATGCCCGTTTGAGTTTTTGTCTCATATTTACATATAGTTAAGCAATATCACACGAGCAATAGGCATATATCACAATAGTGCAATATCACACGAGTGCAAATGTGATACTGATCTTATACAACAGTTCAGTAAGTAAGAAGTTAATATTGTGTTATTTTAGACACAATGTTGTCTGTTTTGCTCAATTTTGCCAACGAAAATATAAAGACAAAGCAGAACTGTTAGTATCTGAGCAACACACAGTGACATTTCATTTCTTAATGCACGTTTTGAACAAATTGCGGTGCTCCACAGACCGATCGGTGAATGACATCAAAGTACCGCGAGAGCGATTCAAAAGCATAAGGAGCCGTCTGTTCTCGATAGCTCTTGCGGTACTTTGATGTCACACACCGATCTGTCTGATGGTGTCATGATCCGCTTCAAGTCGAACAAGCCTAATGATTCAATGGACCATTCATAAAGAACCATTTACTTCACTCCTGAATGAATCAGCCATTTGAACGAATCAAATGAATGAATAAATGACTCGATGACTTAATCATTAAGACATTTACCACCACCTACTGGCAGTTTTAGTTTATTATTTAGAGTATCATTTCATTAAATGAAGCGGCGCTGCGTGTATGACATCAAAGTACCGCGAGAGTGATTCAAAAGCATGCAGAGGCGTCTCTAATCGCTCTTGCGGTACTTTGATGACTTTGATGTCACACACCAGTCTGATGGTGTCATGATCCGCTTCAAGTCGAACAAGCCTAATGATTCAATGGACCATTCATAAAGAACCATTTACTTCACTCCTGAATGAATCAGCCATTTGAACGAATCGAATGAATAAATGACTCGATGACTTAATCATTATTAATATTTCCATAGTAATAATAATAAAATTTATAAAATAAATTATTAAAGGTATAGTTCACCCACCCAAAAATGACAATTGTGTCATCATTTACTCACATTCATGGTCCAAAAGAGTATATGTAATACATTTTATCAAACAAAATATTTCTTGCTGAAGCTACTTTTTGTAATGTCTGTTTGATGCTTTACACAACAATGACTTCAAATTATCTTTTGGGAGTAATATCTTAGCCAAATTTGATGTGCGGTTAATTTGCGATTAATTAGATTAGTTAATCGCCACGTCATGTAATGACGCTTACCAGCCCTAGTTGTAACAAATTTAGTTCGGCCCATTCTGGTATTAAATGCCCCTTTTTCATGATCCCATTAATTCCCAGTGGATAAAATCAAGTCTTGCCCTCGTTATCAATTTAAAGCATTTTGTATTACTGGAATCTTATTGTCTTGTGTCTTATTGTCTAGAAGATCACTGTCGTGGTCTTCTAGTGTAACTGCTGTTAAATGTCAGTGTGTAAAAAGACGAAACTGCTTTGTTAACCTTTTAATCCTGACATTCTTTTTGATTAGACTAATGTCTGTCTCTTACCCATAATTCACTTCTCTTCTTGCTCTTTTCTCCCCCTACAGAGGTCAAGAGCCCCACATCCGATATGAACACATTTACCTACAGGATCCCGGCAGCCAATCAGAAGTGGAATACTCTGAGATGAAGCGTCCTCGCTTGGAAATGGGGACAGAGTCTCTTATTCGTCACTCATCTCATCGTCAGCCCCTCACCGTGGGTGGAGCTGAGGAAATGGCAAAGGTTTGCAATTTTTTATTTTTTTTTCATCATAGATGTTAATACCTAGATGTCATATTTGTAACTATTGCTAGTTAATGCGATATGTTCTCATTTTGGTGGAATAAAGATGCAAGTGAATTGCTAATTACAGTCTGCAACTGATGGCATTCACACATTTTAACCTTTAATTTCACATTTAAACTACCATTTAGGAGTGGGCGATACACTGGTAGACACGATTAACCGGTAGAGATTTTGGACTATCGTCTCTATCACAGTGTTGTGCTTAGTGGTCATGAAAACTTTGTTTGCACGTGTTTTCATTGTGGTTTAAAAGCAAGTGACTTTAAGCAATTCATTGAAATGCAGTCAGCAGCAAAAGAGAACTAATTTCGCTATATGTCAGAGAGGCCCGCCAACGTGAAGACGGTGCTCATAGAACGGCATTATTTTTGTCGCTTTATATGCTTGAACGGTTAAAGTGCCCCTATTATGCCTTTTCGAATATTACCTTTCATGCATTGTGTCATGTAGCTGTATGTGAACATAAACTATCTGCAAAGTTGTGAAGCCGACAGTGCACGATAAATAAAGTTATTGTCTATAAAAAAAAAGAGTCAGCTCGCAATCGCCTAAACGAGTTGTCAGGAATTCGAATCTTATTCTGTTACGGCGCTACGTCACAAAGTAACACATTTGCATAATGT